ACTACAAGCTCCCAAAGGGCAAGAAGCTGGACCTTCACTGGACTACAAGCTCCCAAAGGGCAAGAAGCTGGACCTTCACTGGACTACAAGCTCCCGAAGGGCAAGAAGTCTGCCCACCTTGGCCGTTGCCGCATATGCCAAAGCTAGCAGAACATTCCACACACAGATACTTTAATATCTGTTAACAAGACAAAATTTGCCTATGGCTCAAAGGAGTAGGGCACTGGCCCCATACGCCGGAGGTGGCAGGTTCAAACCCAGCCCTGGCCAAAAACTGCCAAAAAAAAAAAAAAAAAAGGACAAAATTTAATTTTGATTATATTGAAGCATTTCACAACAGTGTTTAAAAAATACAGAATGGAGCCGAGTCCCTGGGTTGAAATCCCAGAGCTGCCTTCTACTACCTTTAATGTTTAACTAACGTACGTAAGCTTCAGAATCCCCTGGGGATAAAAACGTCACTTACTTCTTAGAGATTTTAGGAATATTAAATAACTCAATTTGTGTCAAGCGCTTATAACACAGTATGTGTTAGCTTTTATTATCATCATTATTATTATTACCAGGAAAAGTCTGACGATCACTGAGGCCTAAAACAGTATAAATGTGACCCAAAGCCAGAACTGAAATGTGAAATAGGTAGGCGAGGGGTCGTTCTTAAAAAATCATAAATGGGGGTATTTTTAACGTTATTAGATCGTTGAAATAAAACCCCAATCTGAGACTTGAAGATTGTAAATCAGTCACTTGTAGTTTTCAACAGTGAATCCTGGTGGTTCAGGATGAAACCATAAATAATAGCATGTAAATATGTGGTGAAGTTATAGGACATTTTTCTTCCTGCTGAGTATCACACAGGATTTCCATATGCAATTTATAGATGAAAGCAATCTCAAGTGGTCACAATAAAACTGAAAGCCACCAGAACAATTCTGTTAGCAATAAATTCTTAACCAATCATAATCCCTTCTTAACAATATTCTCCAGTTCTTCTTGAAGAAATAGTTCAGTGCCTCGCTGCCACCAAGATCTGTCACCATCCCTTGAAATGGTTCTACTGTCTTCCCACCAAAATATGCGAAAGAGAAGAGGGCTGCTTAGGAGAGAAGTGTCATGTACACACGTCCAATCTCCCCTTCAGGAAGGAGGACAGCACAGTTTGGCTCATGACCGTCTGAAGAAGATGAAGCCAGCGTGAACTAGTGACGTGCCACAGCGTCGTGGGTTCTGATGCCTTGTGTGGAAATCAGGCTTCTTTTCCACCAAAAAGATAAAGGAAAGGCATCGTTCTCATGTTGCTGATTAGATGGAGTGCCGAGGCCAGCCGGGCTACAAACCATCTGCAGTTAGACCAGTGGGAAGAACACCTGACGGGCTGCGGCATCCAGCAGAGATGTGATGTTTCCGCCCTCTTCATGTGGCCTTCCTCTCTGATTTACTCTACAAGCAACCTGGCCATGGCCCCCCCTATGTTGTAGTAATTAGTAATTTATATATTTAGTCACTGGCATCCTGAGGACTGGAATGGCTGGGTTTTGAAAAATGCCAAACAGTTTTTTCCCGGTAGAATGATATTGTATAATTCAGATGATCCTCGTAAGAAACATAATAAAATACAAATCACGGAATTGCTGTCTTGCCTCAAACTCAGCATGAAATACTCGTGGTTACAGCAAAAAGAGAACCTTAGAGAAGGAAATGAATTTCTCCACTTACATACTGTTTATTCCACATATTTTAAAAATACCTATTTCTTTTTCTTTCTTTCTTTTTTTTTTTTGAGACAGTACACAGTCTCATTCTGTCGCCCTGGATAGAGTGCCATGGCGTCACAGCTCACAGCAACCTCTAACTCTTGGGCTTAAGTGATTCTCTTGCCTCAGCCTCCCAAGTAGCTGGGACTACAGGTGCCCGCCAAACACCCGGCTATTTTCTGTTGCAGTTGTCATTGTTGTTTAGCAGGCCCCAGCCGGGCTAGAACCCGCCACCTTCTATACTCACTGAGCTATGGGTACTGAGCCAATAATCATGGATACTGACCTCAAAACAGGTTTTCTAATTTTTAAGTATTTCCAAAGTAACATATGTAAGCTCACTTTGCCTAAGGCTTTAAAAAAGAAATTTGATCTACTCAATTTAGTATCTCAAGGTGAAATTTACTATTCATAAATAAATACAAAACAACTTCTATTCTGACACATGCTAATCCATTCTAGGTTAAAGTTTTAAATTAAGTAGTCTCTTGGTTCTGTTTTGAAATAGTCTTTAAAGCACATTTGGTACTTAGCAATTATTTATTCATAATACTAAAGATGGTCTCTGTCGAGAAAATTTTATGTTTGGCTTATTATAGGAGATTTTTAAAGAAAAAAATAAACAATTGGTTGCTCATTTGCAGGATCCTATCACTTCTCTGGCATTTTATATCACAGAGTATAAAAGTATTTTACAAAAATGGGCACACTGCATACCTAATTTAATGCACTATGTGTGCTTACAGATAATTTAAACTGTGTACAGAGAAGCCGACTTCCTTGAGGCCACAAAAACAATTTCAGTCACAAGCACAATATTCTGTAGAGTATAACTGCACACTAATTCCATGATGAAAAGTCAGTTTTGAATAGAATTTTTAAGTATAAATGTGAAAAATACACAGTTGAGAGGGGCTGTGTGTGGCCGGGATCATCCTGACCTAGCAATACAAAGCACCCTGGCAGGTTTATGGGTGTCTGGCTGTCCCGTCAGGGTGGAGCTACTCAGACAACTCGCTGACATTTTAAGGAAAGTCTGACACTCTTAATAGACTGGGGCTGACAGTAAATCACAGAAAAAATGGCTTGAGTCTCCCTGCTGGGGTAGTGTGGGGTCAGAGTAACGTCACCTCATGAAGTACGGAGTACAGAGTCCCGGCTCACCCTACAAGCTCTGACACACTGCACTGGAGCAAGGTGGCTGAGTGGGTGACAGGGCAGGGGGGCATCTTCCTCCTGACCAGGCCCAGCAAGCCACAGAGATGCTTGAATAAGACCACTTGGGCAATGCAAGGAGGGAATACTCCAGTTAAACCAAAATAAACTTTTTTTTTTTTTTTTGTGGTTTTTGGCCGGGGCCAGGTTTGAACCCACCACCTCTGGTATATGGGGCCAGCGCCCTGCTCCTTCGAGCCGTAGGCGTCACCCTTAACATATATTTTACCTGAACTTATGTGATCACAGGAGACAAATAAACACACCTATAATTATAGAAACCAAAGAAAAAAATGTAAAAAACAAATTATATCACACTCCTCCTCTCAAGAAATAAAGAGAAAAACTGGCGATATAGTAAGTAGCATGAAGAAGGAATAAACCACAATAATTTAAAAAATTCAGAGGAACAGGCACAAGTGACTTCTGGTATCAGATCTTGGAAGAGAAAAGGGCTTAAGAATCATACAAAATTGCAAGAAATAGGTTAACACCACCTAAGTATCCAGCAAAGACGCCTTTTTTTTTTTTTTGCAGTTTTTGGCTGGGGCTGGGTTTGAACCCGCCACCTCCAGCATATGGGGCCGGCGCCTTACTCCCTTGAGCCACAGATGCCACCCCAAAGATGCATTTCTCTTTGAAGAGTAGAACATCTAAATCTATAGCATCAAAAGAACTTGTGAAAAAAAAAAAAAGAGCCTACAGCTCAATAGATAATTACATATTCAAATATACGAGTGGGTAAGCAATACACTGGTCTCAATTGTTAGATTTAATACTTGAAGATTTCTTTCCTTTACCTAAGATCTTTTTTTTTTGTTTTTGGCTATAAAAGGGTTTTAAGATGCCTATTTTCAAATGTTACAAAAATTCTTGCCATTCAGCCCTGTTATGACAGCCATCACCTGACTTCCCTGATGTGCCTAGAACATGAAACCAGTTCAGACTTTACGTTTATCAGACGCGTTAGATTTAATTTCTGATTTCCTGTTATTAGCAACAGGATTTTCTAGTTTATTTATGGGTCTTCCAGGAACAAATGTAAGTAAGAGGCGTCAACGCCATCACTCACTAAGATATGTGTATAGTTTCATTAGTGAAAACAATTGACGGTTTCTTAAAGTGCTGCTGTTTTAAGGCAGGACTAGGCTTTATATAATTTAGTATAATTTCAAGCACCTAGTTGGCTAAAATGTATGCAGAACGTAGGACAAACAGACACAAAATACTCACTTCGACAGTCTCAATCTTTCCCTCGTGGGGGTGTGGTGTTCTTGGGTAGATGTCAAGGAGATGTGGTGGTGAATCAAAATGTAATCTTTTGAGATTTCTTTTATTAAGATCTTTAGAAGGCAAGTCATCGAAGTTAGTCCTCCATAATAAGACCTATAAAGAGTCAGTGATAGTGGCACTTAAAGTGACTTGCATGTGTAAGCAACAGAACTGATTTTTGAAAAAAAAAAAAAAAATATATATATATATATATATATACAGAGTTACCCCCCAAAGTAATTAGAAAACCTAGAGATTTATTTCAGAAAGTTTACTATTTGTGAATCTTTTAGGCATGGTGGGGGAGAGATTTAACATTTTGAATTGCCTTCAAAACTTTAAGTTTAAAGTTTAAAATTCACACTAAGAAAATATCCTCAGCTAGGCGCTTGTAGCTCAGTGGGTAGTGCGCCAGCCACATACACAGGAGCTGGCGGGTTCGAACCCTGCTAAATAACAAATGACAACTATAACAAAAAAATAGCCAGGCATTGTGGCGGGCACCTGTAGTCTCAGCTATTTGGGAGGCTGAGGCAAGAGAATCGTTTAAGCCTAAGAGTTTGAGGTTGCTGTGAGCTGTCACACCATGGCATTCTACCAAGGGGCAACATAGTGAGACTCTGCTTCAAAAAAAAGAAAGAAAATATCCTTGTTATAATTCCTTGTGGTGTTAAAATAATAGACAAAAATCTTGTTATCTTAAAATCCTTTGTCTTCTCTCAAAGCTCAAAAGCATGTTTTCGGCTTGATCATCCACTTTACTCAATAAATCTGACTTCAAATGATATTGGATCATTTCAAGTAAATGCTTCTCCACTACATAAATGATTTATATTCATTGTCCTTAAGAAGTTTTAACATTTGTAGAAACAAGACATACAGACGAAGGACGAGGCCTAATTTAGGCAGAAGGCTATATCCTTACTGAAAGTTGGCATTCAGCAAATGTCAGGTACATATATAATTAAGCGTAAGAATGAGCAAAAGAAAATAACTATCTGAGTTTTCCAAATTTACCAGAATTAGTACTATTTCAGCTACGAGATAGACTTCATGGCACTAAATTATAATATAAACTTACCAGTAATAATCCTAATATTCAAATTAATCAGTTATAAAAAATATAAGCTGAAGTCAAGGATTCTTTTATCTAAATCAAATCAGAGAGAGAGCTAAAAGATATACAGACCTGTGTGTCTGCACCTCCTGATGCAAACAGCTCTCCTCCTTTTGAAAATGAAACAGTAAACACCGGTCCCTAAGAAATAAAGAGAGATAAAAGATAAAAACACCAGATAATACTTTCAGTGGCCAAGAGCATTATAAATACCAACTTTCACACTTAGACAGTAAGTCTGATACAACATATCCAGTTAGTAGCAGCTAATGGAGGTAGAAAACATATAACCAAAGAGCCAGAGCAACTCTATTAAAACACAAATCAATGATGCTAAAAACAGAAATTCTAAAATTTAATAATAACCCCTTTCTTCTTAAAAAAAATAAAAACAACAACAACAACTTGTACACGTGTAAGTCGTAAGAATTGCTGTCAAAATTTTCTGGCTTTGGCTCAGCACTTGTAGCTCAAGCAGCTAGGGTGCCAGCCCCATACACCCGGAGCTGGCAGGCTGGAATTCAGCCCAGGCCCGCCAAACAATGACGTTTACAACCAGAAAAATAGCCAGGTGTTGTGGCAGGTGCCTGTGGTCCCAGCTACTGGGGAGGCAGAGGCAGAAGACTACTTAAAGCCCAGGAGTTGGAGGTTGCTGTTGCTGTGAGCTGTGATGTCACAGCACTCTACTGAGGGTGACTCAAAAAATTTTTTTCTTTCTGGCTTTGGACTCTGTATTCAACCAGAAACCAGATGATAAATAAGCAGGTGAGGCTAGAGAACAAAGGACATTTCCCGGCCACAACAGGCTGCACTGACTCTCCCTTCACATAGGCAACAGTTAATCACTAGGAGCTGTAAGAGCAGGGGACAAACACAGGTGGGAGGAGGGCGTGACTGATGAAAATCAGTATCAATTGTGAGAGTGACAACCTGCAGGAAGAATGACGGCTGCAGGTCATTATCTAGGTGAGGGGTAATAGGACTCAACACCGAGCCATTACTGCAGAGTCGGACAGGAAGCCTATCCTCACGGGCAATGTTTTAGTCAAAATAAGAATAACTGCCTTAAAAATACGAATGTATTCTGTTTGTTTTTAATATGTCCTTAATCTACACATGACAAGTGTTGGAGAAAACAGCTCATATTTCCCAAGTAGGCCATCCCACAGATTTGGGTTATCATAGCTTCGTGAATACCTCCATCAGCAGACTACAAAAAAGTCCATCTTTTTTTTTCTTATTTTATTATTATTTTTGAGACAGAGTCTCACTACGTTGCCCTTGGTAGACTGCCATGGTATCACAGCTCACAGCAACCTTCAACTCCTAGGCTTAGGCAATTCTTTTGCCTTAGCCTTCTGAGTAGCTGGGGCTACAGGTGCCCGCCACAAAGCCCAGCTATTTTTTGTTACAGTTGGCTACAGCCGGGTTCGAACTGCCACCCTCAGTATATGGGGCCGGTGCCCTACCCACTGAGCCACAGGTGCCACCCGAAAAATTCCATCTTCATGTAGAGTGTTCTGCTAAAATACTGTGCTTATCTTTTTCCCTATTATTTTATATTTCTTTCACGGGTATTTCAATCCTTGGCCGCTTTTACTGGTTGTGTTTATTTTTCCTAATCTGTGGAGACGCATATAGCTGAGCTGGTTAGTGTTTATTTCTGCTTCACCCTAATGCTTCTGCAGAATAAATGATAAAACAAAGCAGGAAGCCAGGCAGGGTATATGAAAGTAGGAAGAACTAGCTCAGCACCTGTAGCACAAGCCGCTAAGGCGCCAGCCACATACACCTGAGCTGGTGGGTTCGAATCCAGCCTGGGCCTGCCAAACAATGATGGCTGCAACCTAAAAATAGCCAGGTTTTGTGGTGGTCACCTGTAGTCCCAGCTACTTGGGAGGCAGAGGCAGGAGAATCACTTGAGCCCAGGAGTTGGAGGTTGCTGTGAGCTGTGATGCCACAGCACTCTACCCAGGGGGACAGCTTGAGGCTCTGTCTCCAAAAAAAAAAAAAAAAAAGTAAGTAGAAAGAACCCGTTTTCTTCCAGACCACAAAGTTCATTCTATTTCTAGATACAAATAGCTTATACTAGGCTAAAAGGAAGTACCTAGTACATCTAAAAAGACAAAAAAACAACAGCAAAGAAGAGGATGCATGCTAAAAAATGAGAGAAGCCTAAATATTTACCCAGAAGGGAGGAAAAGTTTATACACGTCAAAAATTTCCCTGTAATGCATTACATGCTGGGCTCAAGAAATAGCCTCCCTCTTCCCCCATTAGTTCTAAATCATTTGAGAAATACGATATGAGAATAAGGGGTATGAGAACCAAAATATCACTTTTCTTAAAGACAAATGCTTGTTCTCTCAAAAAGAGAATGTGGCTTTTATTTGTAAGGCAATGGGGTTTCTAGAACTGATGTGAGGAGTCAGGTGTGACCACCAAGTCACAGGCAACACTAGACCAGGGCAGGTCTCTCCACAACAGGATCAGAGGTAAATAGCAAGTCACTCTCCAGGGCAGGAGAGTAGACGGGCATCGGGCTGTGCTTGCCAAACTTCTCCTAAACTCAGCAACGAGATCAGGGGAAGCGGTGAGCCAGTGGCATAAGAGGCAAAGGTGTCAGAGATGGCAAGAGAGTCTCCAAATGAAAGAAAGCTCAGAAACGGTGAATACACTTCACCACAGTAGTGGAGGAGTCGTTTAATGTCCACTGAAAGATACACATCGATTTTGACAAAAATTGCAATAAACAACATTTCTAAGAGTTGCTTCCAGAGTACAAAAACAGCCTTGGAAGTAAAAAATTTTTGTGATAGCAGCAATGTATGTGTGCTGTCTCTGGAAAAATAATAAAGGCATTTAATAAACGGATCAAAACTTTCCAATACGTAGTATTTTATAGTTTTAATATTAGTACATATAAAAAGCAAAAACCGTGGTGTTAATACCGTATGTCCTTGAAGTGTATATATGAGCCTTCCTTCTAAGAGATCCAGAATCTTCAGTGTACCATCGGAAGCAGCAGAGATGAGGAAGTTGCCCGAAGGATGGAACGATAGATAATTAACTCCACCGCTGTGAACTGATTTATAGAAAATAAAAATAAAAAGTTCAGACAACAATTTTTAATTTTAAAGATATCCCTTTTGCCACGTTAGCAACATGAGGTTGAAAACAAGAGTCAATTACAACCACACTCCCACAACACCAAAATTCTATACATGCATAGTTCATTAAACGAGTAAGTATTTTGGCATCTTACAGCATTAAGCTTCCAACTAGTGAGACAGAATAACTAAAAACCAAGACCATGTCATGGAAAAATAATCTTAATCACAAAAACCATAAAGTCTTGTGTATATTACCAATATAACCAATAACCAACAGGTGATTACTACTGGCTCAGCTCATATAAGGCACAGAAACTGGACTCAAATTAAAGTTAATAACCAAGTAGTGGCTTGGGATTCAGGGGTGAGGAATGTGGAGTATATTCTCATACAGGAGAATTTGTTTCTGGACACCATCCTTCCAACAGGAGGCAACATAACACAGTAATGAGAAGTTTGTTCCATACACTTGTCAGCAGGAAGACCTCCCTCTCAGGTCTACCCATTATTTGAGCAAGTTATTTTTCTCTTTAAGCCTCAATTTCCTTATCTTTAAAATGGGGGCAACAATGATATTTCTCAGGAATGTCGTGAAGATTTGGCATAGGGTCTGCTACGTGTTAAGTAAGTACTGGATAAGTGACAGCTATTTATGCGAAAGAGTAATGTAGATTTAATATAAATTCAATATGAACCAATAACACCAAGTCACTTCCCTTTCAGCTTCAATACGTAGGCATAGCAAGAAGTTGTTTGTATCAGTTATAACGCCTGTTTGTGCTCATTGAACTCCCTATGATTCAGAACTCAGAGTCATTCCTTTTTTTTTTTTTGCAGTTTTTTTGGCCAGGGCTGAGCTCGAATCCACCCCCCCTGCAATATGGGGCCTGTGCCCTACTCCTTGAGCCACAGGCACCACCCGACTCAGAGTCATTCCTGACTTCTCACTCAGTGCAGCTAATCAGAGTTTGAAGATCTCATCATACCTTATTTTTTTTTTTCCAGCCCTAGTATCATTTTTAAGGTCTCTTCACCTCCCTCTTCCCTGAAGCTTCTCAGATCCTGCTGTTGATGGGAGCCAATTTCTCTAGCCAGTTCAGAAGCAGCCAGGCCCCTCATGAAGAGGCCAGAACACACTGAGGAGGAGCCCAGGGGCTTCCCAGAGGAGCTCATTCAATAGTTGAATTTTTTTTTTTTTTTTTTGGATAGGGAAATTATTACCTTGATAATGCTGGAGCAATTTGTTCAATCTTATATCCCAAATTTTCACGGTTTGATCAGAACCTGCCGAAGCTATGCATGTACCATTAGGGTTAAAATCCACATAATTTGCGAATCTAGGAAAAAAGAATAAGATGGTCTAATATTTTGATTTCTTTACATGCATATCTTCACTTAAATTGTTACCGTTAAATGCCTCCTCAGCAATCTAACCCACATAAACGAACAGACAGAGCACTTACCCCACGGAGTCTGAGAAGTTATTAACACACTGCTTGTTTGTGGTGTCCCAGATTTTAATAGTTTTGTCCTCACTACATGAAACAATTAATCGTCCATCAGGTGAAAATCTGGAAAGCAGAAGAAAGAAGACTGTATTTGTGAAAGTTTCCTGGCAAACACCACCCTCACCTCCACCCTACAAGTCGGGCTGTAGAGTAAACGCTAAATGCCAGAGACCACTGTCAGCACACCGTGCAGAGACATCTCTCATGACAGACAACACTGACAGACCATTAAAAGCCCAACGTGTTTGATCAGGTCCCCAAAGTGAATCTTTCTAAAAGCAGTGTCTGAATGGTCTTAACTCAATAACTAAGAGAATGACATGAAGGTTATGTTAACCAGTTTGATGAGAGTATTTCAAAATGTATAGGAAAACAGCACACTGTACCCCATGATTGCATTAATGTACACAGTTATGCTATAAGAAATAAAAAATAAAATAAAATAAATAAATAAAGCCCAACACGTGCTGTGCAGACAGACCGATTTTCTTTTTTCCCTTGTATTCTCCTATTCCAAGAATTCAGTTGTTACGGCATCTGCTCTAGGACTGTGATTTAATTCTCCACTCCTGCCAAGCCAAGCACCTTGTATTTTTCAAAGTACTCTATTTCTTTCTTCTATGTCTGTCCTTTTCCAGCGTTCGCCGTGTGACCTAAGAAGGCCTTTATTACTCATCTCACCAAGCCTCCAGTGAAACTTTCTGCAAGGAAAATACTGGTATGTTGAGAATTAAAATTAAGTGACATCACCAACAAAATGACCTAACTGCCCAAGCCTGTCACTTCCTGGAGTGGCCAGGCCGGACGGCTCCAAAGGACCAAAAATGGGACAAGTCATTTATACAGCACAGAAGTCCCTTCTTGGACAGTCCTGCCGTCCACACACCCCATTAAGGAGCAAATGAGAAAAATCTCAGCCTTCTCGTCCTCTGCTTATAAGCTGTCTGTGCCTTTAAGAGTCTCTCTGGGTTGTTTTCTTTCTGGTCCTAAGTACCTTTGAAAGTTAGAAATGCAGAGCACCAACAAAAAGTGAAAACTAATTTTAGACCATTTGGAAACTCTGAATAGTGTTTCATTACTATTACTTTAGCAATAACAGAACCCCAAAAGGACAGATTGAGGTTACAGACCCAGTATGTTTCAATTTTATTTGTAGTTACTCTCTATGCCCAGAGTCAAGGTTATTACATGTCATCAGTTAAGGGTGGGGAATATAATTGAAGGCTTTACTTTTTGTTCTCCCCACCCTCATTCTTAAATAATTCTTCCTGGCAGAAACACTTTGAATCTGGTGAATTTACTATAAGAAATGAAAAGACACCCAGAAGCATAATGAAGTTTTATGTGAAATAATGTTTAAAAACTTAAAAAAAATCCTTGCAAGGAAAAATATTCATGCTGTTTATCCTGATTTTATAATAACAAGTAATATTTTATTAATCTTTTACTCCAGAAAATATGTAAAAAAGATTAATATTAAGGACAGCATTATAGAAATGCTCCAAATAGAGGAAACTTATTTTATATAGATTCCAGAGAAGAAAAATCTATGCAATACCCCCATGAAAATAAACTTTGCATAGTAACTATAAATAACTAATGCAAGGAATCAAATTATGTTTCTTTTTTTTTCTTTT